GGGCGGAGGGGGGGGGGGAGAGGGGAGGGTTGGAGAGAGAGAGAGAGAGAGAGAGAGAGAGAGAGAGAGAGAGGCGAACAGACGAATAGACAGCCAGCAGTCTCTTGTCGGATATGCAATCCTGCGTGTGTACCTAGAATTTGGGCATTGCCACACCACTCTCGAAATGTGCACACTGAGAATGAACTTCCCGCTATAATATGGCCAGAAGCACCCGCCACATTTGTCTGTTTCACGTTTCGAGAGTGGTGTGGCGAGGCCATTTGTGTCTAAGATTTGTGTATGTTGTGTCTGATATGCAATCCTGCGTGTGTACCTAGAATTTACACCACTCTCGAAATGTGCAAACTGACAATGAACTTCCCGCTATAACATGGCCAGATGCACCCGCCACATTTTTGTCTTTTTCACATTTCGAGAATGGTGTGGCGAGCCCAAACATGATCTGGCATGGAAGACCCCATGTTTGGATTTTTTTCAGAAGCATGAGATGTCACTGGCACTGTGCTGCATGAGCTCAAGTTTGGAAGCAAGCTGTTCCGAACCGTATTCACGAATTGCATTCCTCACAAGTCAGAAAAGTTGAGAAAAGTTCAGAAAACAGAATATGTTTGGCAGTTGGTTAGTACTACTTAGTAGTACTTAGTAGTACTTAGTAGTACTTAGTACCTGTGCGAGCTTCGGTCAAATTTCGGTCACTTTCTAGTATACCCATCGGTGCCAGCTTTCCGGGTTTCGTTAGGGACCAATTCACTCGGCGACTCTACGTAGATTGACTGAATGCAGAAGCCATTGAACTTTCGGCGATTATATTTTTCACCTGATTTTTTGTTACTCCCCTCGACAGAGGAGGAAGCAGGAGGAGGAGGAGGAGGAGGAGGAGGAGGAGGAGGGAGGAAGGAGGACTGTGATATTTCCAGGGACGGAGAAGACCAAAATTGTGGAGTAGTCGCTACTTGTCGGAAGTAGATGACCACGCCAATGCTTGAGTACCTCCATCTAAAAGGAGGAGGAGGAGGAGGAGGAGGAAGAGTGGACCATGATTGAGCAGGATGAGGAAGGAGATTTCACATCGGATATGGAGGGTATTACTCAAGAGTAACGTCTTTAGAAGTCGATAGTCAGTAGGCATTTGGAATCTTGGAAAGTATTCTCCAAAGTTCAAACACAGCGCGCTCCCCACCATTCACCTTCTTTGGTCATCGAAAAGATGTGCAGCAGCAGCAGCCAGATGAGGTGTGGCCATATGGTTCCGGACAGGAGATGCAGAGTAATAGTATGCAAAGTTGCGAAACTTATGTTATCACTTATCACCCTACGCGAATAACGAAAAGAAAACCGGAGGCAACCGAGAGCCCTTGCCATTGTGGTTTTACCTCCGCACCCGACAGGGGCCAGTTGGACACCCTGCAGGGCGTTGACTGACGGCAGTCCCTTTTTTTTCTGGTGACTGGCTGACTGCAGTTGTGTCTCTGTTCACTTTTCTTTTTCTTTTTTTTTTTCACGGAATTAATCGGACAAATCACTCCACCAACAAAGAAAACAGGCCGTGCACCACTACCCATGGAATCGAGAAAGAGGGTAAAGAGCACTTTATTTTATAACTTTGTCTTTTTATTTCATCTTAAGCTCTCTCAGCCTCTGTGTTAACTTTTCAAATGTGTGTGGTGGATACAGTTCCCGCAAGACGCATTTTCGTCACTGGGTAAGCTCAAAGAACTGGATCTGACGGGAATTGCTGCGCCTCTCCCCGCATCGCCTTCTCTTTCTCTAATGCCGTCACCCGAGCGGCTGCATCTTCGTCAAACAAAGTTGCACGAGATCCCGTCCGAAATCTGTCAGCTTCGGCAGCTTCGGTTTCTAGACCTCAGCGAAAACTCAATCATTGCTGTCCCTGAGGAACTCTCGGTACTCGCTTCAATGGAGGAAATTGATCTCTCATGTAACGATGTTACATCGCTGCCACCAAAGCTGGGGCTTCTAGAACCAACATTGCGCTCACTGAAGCTGGACGGGAACCCTCTACGAAGTATTCGCAGGCCAATCATTGAGAGGGGAACGAAGGCTGTTCTGCAGTACCTCAAGGACAAAATCCCTGAGTGACGTGTTCTCTTCAAAGGCTCTGCTGCAATACCTCAAGGGCAAAATACCTCAGTGACATCCTCCCTTCCAGTGCGCCATTGTTTCCGTTCGCGGCACTTGTCACTGTTTCTCAAGGGCAAATTTTTACCTCGAGGACTGAATCAGAAAGTAAAACTTCGAGGTGTCAGTAGAAACTGGGCATTCCTTAGGCCTAGCCTTGGCACTCCTCTTCCCTTGACTTGCTCCTGCCTGCATCTTTAGTAGTGTGTGGTTCAAAAGCCCAAATAGTTAGCAGCAGTTAGCAGCAGTTAGCAGCAGTTAGCAGCAGTTAGCAGCACTGGGCAATCTTGCAACCACCTTCTGAGTTGTGCAGCCCAAAATCCGAGAAGCGGTTAACAGAGCCCGAAATAAATAGTAAGGAGAGTTTTTAACTTTTTACAGGTTCATTAATATAACAAACGTCCCGCACCTTTTAAGCCCAAAAAAAAAAAAAAAAAAAAAAAAAAAGAAAAAAAAGAATGGTGTGGCGAGGCCATTTGTGTCTAAGATTTGTGTGTGTTGTGTATGTTAACAGCATTACAGGTTCCATTCCAAGCACCGTCGGAGCTGCAGTAAACTTGGAGGTTCTCGATATCAGTAGCAATAGAATTGGAGGTCCACTTTCGTCTTCTGTTTTATCACTCGCTAAATTGAGGGAGCTCATGTGAGTACCTTCTGCTATATCCACTCTTAAAGACTTGCTTCTGAAGTGTCTTTGGAAAATGAAAAAAGAAAAAAGAAAAAACGGAAAAAACGGAAAAAAAAATCAAAAGGGATTTTTATGTATCTCCTGTTGGTTCCACTCTTCAGAAGTTGCTTCTAAAAAACGTTCTGCCATTTTTCTGCTTTTTCTGTGCACTCTCCAAGTCCTCATGTTCCTTTTTTGACAGGCTTGCACGCCTCACAATTAACCACCTTTCTTTTTCCCCTCTCTCTCTGCATACTTTCCCCTGTCCCTGACTGCTCCCCTATCTCTCTACCTCCTGTTAGGAAGTTCCATAATTTTAATTACTTCCATCAACCATCCCACTTACACACTTGATTGATATGAGATCACACTTGCTTGCAATCCACAGAAAAATCGGAATTGAACAGTCACATCCAAAATAAAAAATAGTTGATCAAACCAGATAAAGGTGATGAAGAATTGAAGAGCCTGCCTCCCTGAGTAACATGCAACAATTGGCTCAAGAAACCGTCCAGCGAACAGGACGTTCTCACTGGCTATGTCTGCTCTCTCTCTCTCTCTCTCTCTCTCTCTCTCTCTCTCTCTCTCTCTCTCTCTCTCTCTCTCTCCAACTCATCACTTCCTTGCAGCAGCTACTTGCCTAGGCCTACAGTGTCTGCCTACCAAAAGGAAAGCCTAAAACTATCAGCCAAAAAGATCCTACTACCGTCTTCACCCGAATAGAACACCCGGGCATTATAGCTGTATTTGGCACAACTTTCGGTCTAGATGCAGCAATAATGACCGGGCACCCAAATAGAACGCGCGGGTGAAGACGGTAGGCATAGAAAGACCGTACACACAGGTCCCAGGTTTAAAACTCACAAGCTTCAGAGCAGTTGGAAAAAAAAAAAAAAACTGTGCTTACCTTGTTTGGTTCCAGGTTCAAATCCCGGCAGGGAAAACAACAACAACAACTTGAAATACAATAGATAATTGGGCAGGGTGTGGGTTGAAGCAACAGTCCTCCCACCTTAGTTCGAACTTCGAAGTCCTCTGAGAACATTACAAGCTCCTACTGAAAAGGGGTTCTGCGTTCGTAGAGAAAACAGAACACAGAATCGCGAAAAGGGAAAAAGTACACTGGACTCTGGAGTCTTTTCCAATATGAAATCTGAAAACTGCAGGCTCAAGAATAAACTTCTGCATTTACTGTCTCGCAGTTTGCTTCTCATACTGGGCAACTATCTGAGGTGCCATCCACATTATCTTAGTGTGACTGATCCATTTGTCATCCTCCTCATCAGGATTGTACTTGAACTTGAGCCTGCAGATGGTGCTGGGTCTTCTTCTTCACTGTCGTACCAGCCTTTGTTCAATGATTCCGTCAATGTCCGCATATCCATCCATGTGGGAGGATGCATCTTGCTTTTGCTTGTGAGTTTCGAGGCCGTGTAATGTATCAACTTGGAAGCTTGAAACACAGGATAAGCCTTCAGGTGCGGGTGTATGTCAACGAGATGAGCAGGTCCATCTGGATCATCACCAACAACAGGCAATTATCTCCCAAGGTTTACACCACGTAGGTAGCAGTTTTCTGCAGACACCATCTTCAACTGCAGACTCATCCATGCTCACCCATACATGGTCTCCCTCCTTGAAGATAGAAGAGGGGTGGTGGTGCTTATTGGCTTGATTACCCATCGCCTCTCATGCCTTCTGCATACTCCTGGTAGCTTGTCAGAGTTCTTCAACAGACTGTATGGTGAACCTTGTGGTCCCGACAGGGTGCTTGAGCTGCTGGACCAGAAAGCCCACATGCATGCGAGGATTTCATCCATGAAGCAGCACAGCAAGTGCACAAATCATTGCAAGGTGCACGCACAGAACTGTTATAAACACCTGCTACCATGGCCAAGTGTAGTTCCCAGTCAATCTTAGCAAGCCACATTAGGTGTTGCAACACCTGTTGTATGACCATGTTCATCCGCTCTGTCTGGCCATCACTCTTCGAGTGGTGGGTTGAACCATATTGGGTTTGATGCTGGGGAATTCAATCCGATTACGTCCGCCATAATTCGCTTGTGAATCGAGTGTCTCTATCATCGACAATATCCGAGGGAAATCCCAAATCCCAGGCCCAGTTGTCAGCAAAAAGGCGCGCAATCCCCTCTGTGGTAGCCAACTTTTTCATAGGTATCAACCTCATGAGCTTACTGAAGCGGTCATCGATGAGGAAGATTGCGTCGTCCTTCCCTTTGGTCTCCGGAAAGCATCCTATAAAGTCCATGGAGATGGATTTGCCTCATTCGTCAGAGATCCAAAGTGGCTTTAAAAGACCATATGGTTTTTGTACTCTTCCCTTCAACCATTGGCATACAGTGAAGCTCTTCATGTATTTTGTGACGTCATTCCCGATTATGGGCCAATAGAACTGCTCCTGAAGTTGCTTGTGTGTTTTCTTAAAGTCAAAGTGGCCTTGAGCATCATGACACTCTTAACCAATACATTGAGCCGTAGTTGTCTGCCTGCAGGATTGCACAACCGCAACACCCTTGTGTTCTCTATATAAAGTGATCCTGTCTGCATAGTATAATTGGGAACACGATTGAGGTCTTCTTCCAAATCTACAATGATTTGGCTATAGACAGGGTCTTTAGAGTATGCTGCTGTGATCTTGTCCACCAGCTCATCACTAACATTCATTTGTGACATGATTGCTGCAACGTGATCTTGTCGTCGCGACGATGCTCCAGCCAACTCAAAGTCATATGTGTCTACAACAACTGACCACCTCACAAGCTTATCCAAAAGCTTGGGCTGCGTCTTTAACCATTGCGGTGTCTTACGATCATATTACATTTTAAAGGGTCTGCCCAACAAATAGTGCCCCCATGTCCAAAGAGCGTGGTACAAGGCATCGAGCCCCCTCGCATAGGTTCTAGCAGCAACTCCGTTTTACAGCATGCGCTTGTAGAGGTACTCCACTTGCTTAAGCCACCACTCTACCCAATGTTGGAAAGTCGGGGGACCGGTAGAGAGGTTCATGAGGCTATGGATGGCATAGTGCGGAGAACCGGCACAGCGGCGACAATGGAAAATGCGATGAAATGGCGCCAAGACAAGGCTGCAAACCCGGTAGGACCGGGGGCCCTCCCTCAACCGGAACCGGACTGGTCCTACCGGCCGGTCGACCGGGCCGGTTTCCACCCGGTTGGCCGTAGCGCATCTTTTTTTTTTTTTCTTTTTTTTTTCTTTTTTTTTTTTTAAGGCCCAGGGTGTTGTAGAGGCCGAGGACTAGACCCCTGGTGATCGCTGGCAGCGGCAGCCGGTGGTTGTGCTGACAGGATAGGCCACCTTCCCTACCCTTCCCCACGTTAATGCTCCCAGCGCAACCCCTATCCCTACTATCGTACCTCAATGTGACCAGCACTCAGGACCACCCTACCAGTATCGAGAGCAACTTGGACCAGACAGCAGTGACAAGCACCCCCTAACACTATCACCACCACCCCCCTTTTCAAAGTTATTGGGTGGGAAGTACCGTCCCTACCCTGCCACTAACACCTCCAGCCCCCTTTTCAAAGTTTTTGGGGGGAAGGTTAACGTTTGCAGAAAGCCAGGTACGTTGGTGTCAATGTCTGCTGAAGCCTGTGGTTGCTGAAACTCCTCCACCAACACCCTCACCATAAACCCTCCAGCCCCCGACCCTCAACCCCTGAACCCCCCACCCCCACCCCCCAAACCCCACAAACGAAACTTCTCTGTTCAAAGTTTTCTTTGTGGATTTGGGGAGATCTCGGCGAGCGCAGTCCAACCATGTTTTCAAAAAACTTTTTTTTTTTTTTTGACCCACTTTTGGGCCCAACCGGAATGCCGGTTGGACCGCCGGGGGTCCAACCGGCCCGGTCCAACCAGCCGGTTGCCGGCACAGCCATGCGCCACGACCTATTTCGTGGTTGAAACTTTTTTTTTTTTTTCCTGCGAAGATCACAACGAAATCTACAAACCCTCCACTTTTCAGATTTTTTACATATTCTTTTGAGTGTGACAAATCGCTGAAATTAGGGTATTTTTCCTGTTGGCCCACAAGTTGTAGAGCGGCAAAAATGGAAAATGTGAGGAATTGGCGCAGCATTTATTTCATGGGCTAAATGATTATTTTTCCCTGGAAAGATCACAACCGAATCTACAGGATCTCAAATTTTCAAATTTTTTTCTTAAACTTTTTTAGCGTGAAAAATCGACAAAGTTGGCCCATGAAAATTGCAGGACTGGACCCGCCTGCGCCTGCTGGTCGCCAGCCCCCCTAAAGACCCGCTCCGAACTCACCGGAATGGCACTTTTCGATGTCGGGTAGAGTGGTGGCTTAAGCCCATGCCCGTCTTTCTGCTGCAGCACTATCTCGATCCTATGTTGACTAGCATCCGTTGTCAAGACAGATAGCAGATAAGACAACGATTCTGGTGGTTATCTAACCACTACCGGAATGGAGGTGCTTACACAAGGACTCTTAAACCAAAAAAAAAAAAAAAAAAAAAAAAAAAGACAGATGGCAATGCAGGGTTGACAATCTTTAGGAAAATAGTTAATGAGGTGGTCCTTGGGAGTTTGAAAGGCCTCCTCGCATTCCTCAGTCCGCAAAAAATGGACCGTCCTTTCTGGTCAAATTCGTGCGGCAATGATGGTGCATCCTTCAATGAACTTTTTGTCATAGTTCACGATGGTCATGAATGACTGCACATCCATATTTATTCTGGGCTTAGCCAGTTTGCAAATGTACTTCCACCTTCTTGGCCTTGGGCCGTGTGCGATCCTCAACAATATGTCCCAAATAGAGAACCACTCCTTTCCAAATTCACTCATGTTTTCATTAATATTGTACTTGCCTTACCTCAACTTCTCGAACACCAGCCTCAGATGCTCCTTATATGATTTGCGGAACACAAGGATGTCATCGAGGTAGACCGCCACAAACTGGTTGAGGTATTCTCTTAGCAGGTCGCTCATTGCTTGCTGGAAGGTTGCCAATGCATTTGTGCGACCAGGCGACATCACTTTGAATTCATAGAGTTTACAGGTTGTCGTGATTTATGCCGGTTTCTAGTGGTAGCCAC